CGCCCGGGGAGCAGTTGGGGGTTCGGTGCCTTGCTCAAGGGTCTCACCTCAGTCGTGGTATCGAGGGTGGCACTATTTAGTATACCTTATTAGATATCTGACTTATTGACAATAAAAATTTGTAATTTTACTTTTTTTTCTTTATTGTTTTTGTATTATTTTTTATTTCATATATATATATATATATATATATATATATATATATATATGATAACCATTTCTAATGAATCACTTTAAAAGGAAAAATTTAAATACATAGACTCACCCTCATCAAAAAAATCTATGTGCCATCTTTGGGTACATGCCAACTGAAAATAAGGGGTCTACTAAGCGCCCCTCTGACATATGATGAACTCTTCGAAACACTGGTTCACCCATTTGAATGCATCCGACCTGAGCTGAAGCTATAATGAGGAGGGAATGTGAAGGCCTAATCCACAATTGGAGAGGAGAGAGTGTGGGGTGGATTTACAGTGCTGGAGAGCACACAGAGCGCCTTGTAATTAGGAAGAGAATTTGTCATGCTCTTCGGCAAGGCACACGGATGAGAGCCGCTGAATAGCAATCTCCCCAATGTTTACCCTGAGAGGGGTGGCCGGTGCTGTCGCACGGCGCTGTAGCCACACCAAGATTAATATTTGATGCAGAGTGAGGGAATGTGTGCTTGGCTCCTGTTTATTTAGGATATTGTGAAAATATGGGGAAATTTGCAATTTTATTGGCTTTTGCACACTTCACTGTGGGTGGGGGGAAGGAGGAGGGGCTATGGAGTGGGTAGGTGACCTCTGACCTCTGTACAGATCCTCAGTAGGGCATGAGACATAAGGGTAGACTGATATTTGGCTAAGCTCAACTACAATCACACTGCATATCCCAAAGTACTCTAACAGCAGGACTGTCTAAGAATTTAAGCACAGAGATTCTCTGACACAGACTAACAAGCTTACATTCACACTGTATGTGTGCAGTCAGCTGCTGTAAGTAAATCAGGCCAACTAGATGAGCCCCAGAGACAGATCTCCAGTGAAGACCTTGTCTCCTAGACAGCCACCAGGACAAGACCACAGGAACCAGAAGAGTCTTCTGCACAACGTGACTTTGCTGCAGCATGGAACTGAACTGCTGGTTTCGTCTGGCCAGTGAAGAACTGGCCCCCCGACTGAGCATGGTTTCTCCTAAGGTTTTTTCTCCATTCTGTCACCGATGGAGTTTTGGTTCCTTGCCGCTGTCGCCTCTGGCTTGCTCAATTGGGAACACTTAATTTCCAGCGATATCGTCGTCTTGATTGCACTGATACTATTTAAACTGAACTGAGCTGGATGATGACATCACTGAATTCAATGGTGAACTGCCTTTAACTGAAAATTGAGTGTTTACTATTGTCATTTTGCATTATTGACACACTATTTTCCTAATTAATGCTGTACAGTTGCTTTGACACAATCTGTATTGTTAAAAGCGCTATATAAATAAAGGTGACTTAAATGGCTGTTACTTTCAGTGAAATAAGCTATAGGGAGAAAAAAAAAGTATGATTAACTTCTATGCAGAGATTGTGTATATTATATACCTGTGAATATAACATCATACTCATAAAAAACAGTAAATTGTGATTAATGACAAATGATAGCAAATAATATAATGTAATCTTAATATTATTAATATTTCAGTTTTATATATACAGGTGCATCTCAATAAATTAGAATGTCGTGGAAAAGTTCATTTATTTCAGTAATTCAACTCAAATTGTGAAACTCGTGTATTAAATAAATTCAATGCACACAGA